CTGAAGCACAAGGTGCACCAGGGGCACACCTTTTGAAAGTGTTGTGCCTGGAACCTAGGCGAGGTGCAGACCTTAAAATGCACCTCGCCTGTGTGCCTAGTCATGCCTTGTAAATCACTTTGAGGTGACCAAGGATTTCTATGGAGATTTTGCTGTCACCTGCTTTATAAGGGAGCAATAGGGCAAAGATCTTTTGGAGCCGCATTCCTTTTGTGGTTTGCAGAAGCATTTGGAAGGAACAGAAGAATCTTTGAAGATGGTAAAAAAAGCCATGAAATACCATCCTTGGCAATTGGAAATACAATTAGATGGGTTAGAAGATCAGCTAAAGGTTAGGCACTGAACCATTAGCAAGTAATAAACAAGGGTGAATCATCTTGGGCTGAATTCTAATAGTCAAAATCATCTTGATTCAGTTTCTTTAATCTAGGCACTGAACCTATGTAATTCTTATTCTAATTAATCTATTGAAAGTTTCCATTTCTTATAAAAAATGGAAAATACAACTTGGTTTTGATCCTTACTGAATTTCCTAATGTTTCTTTTATAGATAACCAGAAAACTGTATTAATTAAGGAAAAAATAGAATAAGTACAGCACTCCCAAGCCAAGCCAAACCCACATTAAGAGACTAAGTTAGCCTAGAACAATTGTCCCTTGTGCACCCCTTGTTTTGCTAATGCATTTTCCATTGTATTTCCTCTCCTGCTGATCCATTTAATTTTCTTTTTGAAGGACAAAGAAAATTTTTTTATTAAAAAGAAAAGGAGATAAATCAGAGGTGATAAGATATCAACAAAAAACAATGCAAGCCCCAAACCCTCAAGGTGACCCAAATACCCTGCAGCTTACAATCTTGAAGACCCATCCAACCCAAGCTAAGAACCCGAAACCGACCCAAAACAAATCCCCAAAGAAAACAAAACCACTGGCCCGACAGATGACCCAATCAAACCCCCTTCCTGAAACACCACCCTTCAGACTTCATCCATGAGAAAATCCTCCTGAGACTTCCTCATCCCATTCCTTGCTTCCTTTCGAAAGTACTTTTTTCTTCAATTTCTCTTCCTTTTTTTTCTCGAATTCCTCGAAGGCTCTCCTAGAAAACTCCTCACCACCTCAGAAAAACAGACCCAGGCTTTTCCCAATTGTAACTTCCCTATCCACTATCTTCTGAAGAGCTGCAACATGCCATCGCGCATCACCTGATTCTCTGTCAATAGTATCACTGCTATGCCACAACCTGTTCTCACCTGAACTTGCTTCATTGCC